GTACATCATTGCGCTTACACCCGCGACCTGGCCAGGCATCGGCTCTAGGGCCCCATCTGTGTTGGTCCGATGGCTCTTTGAGGCGCGCGCGGTACGCTACGCGCCGTACGCTCGGGTCTGGTTCTGATCGGGCGGCAAGCTACCCTTGTTTGCCGTCCGCAGACCCGCGCTTACGGTGGCTGGAGATCATCTCGGGATCCCCAACGCCTGGAGCGTCCCCTGCGGCGGCTGGGGCGTGAGGAGGATCGTTCCCTCACGCGCTCCGCCTCCTCCTTGGCTAGCATGACTGCTTCGCAAAAGGAGGAGACTGCCTCCCAGTTCCTCTTGCTCCGCACCATGGCCTGAACTAACGCCGCACGCGAGATGTCGCCGCCGCCGATGATCTCCCTGAGAACACGGCGATGCTCAGCCCAAGCTGGGCAGTCCGCCACCGTATGCTCCACCGTGTCCTCTGGTTGGTCAACGCAATGTTGACACCCAGGCGTTTCCTCCCTTTTTATCCGAAACAGGTACCTCCCAAAACATCCGTGTCCGGTAAGTACCTGCGTCAGGCGGAAGGTGGGGACACCGTGGCGTCTCTCCAGCCACTCCTCAAAGAGGGGTCTCACCGCTGCGATAGTAGCGAGCCCGGCCTTCGGCTGAGACAGCCGTTCTTTCCACTGAGCCATAAGATTGCGCTGGAGCTCATCTCGCCACACCCTGATCTGATGTGGCGGTGGAGTTTGGCCCTGGCGACATACTTCAGCGCGTAGGGTGAAGACGTGCGCAAGCGCCTTCGCCTCTAGATCCCACGGCGGAACTGTATCTTAACCTACGGTTATGTCTTTATTGATGTATTGAAACTTGTATAAAACGAACATAACAATAATTATCAGAAAAATTTTAATACCTTCAATATGATAAAAGAAAGGTAGTATGGTTAATAAAAGACCATCTTATCAAACTGATGAAACGTTTTGTCTCTAAATGAAAAACATTATATATTTTCTTTTTCAATGCTTAGATATAAAATTATATTAATTTTTAATATTATTATTACCTAACTGTGTTAATGGTTAGTTTAAATATAGCTTTCCTATTTTAAAAGTTAATTCTTTAAACTAACTACAATAAACTGATTCATACTAACTTACAAGCAGTTTGTATCCCAATTTGTGTTTGGACAGTTTTCATTCAGTATTAATTTATTCGTAATTGCTTGAAGAAATTAAATTATCACATCCACACGTCAATTGTCATAGGAAAAATTTGCTTTTAATAGGTAATTTTCAATTATAATGAGTATGCCTTGAAGTGCATAGTCCAGATTCAGGTAGGATTGCTTAATGATATAAGCCCTGGATGCTCTGAATGGAATGTTGAAACGGTAGGAGAGATGGATATGGAAAAAATCTCAATCGACAGTTTATTTTAAAAGACTGTTAGTGTTAGACCACCTCCATCCACTGTGTGTTAAAGTTCGTATTCTATAAAGTCCCCTACTCTTTTCAGACATCAAGACTACTAGCATTGACCATTTTCGTTTCTTCAATGATACCCGAGTGATGAATCAGACCCATGACTACGAGAACGTAGCTCACCTGGCCTCCGTGGCACGTCAATAGTCGTTCGATTGCAACAATTCTTGCTGTAGACCCATCCTTGGAGTTTATTCGAAATACTGATAGCTGAATCCAAGCCATTTTCGGTTCGGAATCTGAGAAATAAAAATAATATTTGAGGCGAATATGTAAAAGATTAAGGAATGTCAATATAATTTTAACCTGTATTAATTATTTAATTATTATTTATAATATACATAAATCTTCTAAAACATTACTGAGTTTTTTGCTTTCCAGAAGTATATTTTAAAGAAAAAAATAGCTTATTTACTATTTTATAGCGACGGGATTAATGTTATTTACTTATTGGTAAAAAGGAAGGGATTTATATAGTTTTCTTCCAATGTAAAACTATATAACGAAACTATTTCATATTGAAGAAAATCCAATAAGGTACACCTTACTTCAAAGTCAAAGGATTATACGAGAGTTAAGTTATGAGTCTTCTTGTTGAATAACTCCCACAGATTTAAGCAAGAGAATATATAAAAACTTTGTTGTTTAAAGTAAAAAAATATTAAAAAAAAACTTTATTTGATTCGGACAATATGTTGGAAAATATTCCTCATAGAACAAGAGAAATTAATGTCTTTATTACAATTGCTCACATTTTAAATCTGCTCGTGTATAAATTTATTTACAAAGGGAATTTTGTAAACGAAATACAGTCACGTGATGAAATATAAAGCCAATAAAAATGCTCTTTTTTGAAAAGTAAAGTATAATGTATAAGTACATAACTAAAACTTTTGAGAAAATTGTTTCCTTAAAAGTTACGAAGTTAGTCCGTACGAAAGTTTTCTTAACTTGTTTTTATTAACATGTCATTAGAGGTGAAATATTTCTGTGGTTTTTATTTTCATCATATTTGTATTTTTTTTATGTTCATTATAAAAACTTTAAAAAGTGTTTTCATTTAATATTACATAAATAATTTATAATAGTAATAAAATACGTCCTTACAATTTTTATTTCATTTCAAACAGGTTAGAAAGATATATTGGATATTTATTGATCTGATTTTTCTGTTCAACAATAAGCAGACATTTTAAAAATGATAGTACATCCTACAATTACTAGTTGCTACATAAATTTAAGAGTGTATTATAATTTTAAAACAAAGACATCGGAAAACTGAACGTAGTTACCTACCTCTCTCACTGATGTAGTGGTATCCTTTAACATATGAAGCAATCTAGGTTACTAAATCTTCCACTTCTTTCATTTAAACGGTTAAAAATACTTTTTCTAGTGAAACGAAACCCATTATTTCTCTTAGACGTCTTCGGAATGTTTCTGAAGAATGGAGTCTATTAAGATTTCTATTACCATTGAAGGAGTTTAACTTGAAACCAACTTTTAAATTATCAGATATTTTTCAAAGAGCACCATTGAAATTCTCTAAAATATTAGAAGTGAAAAATATTTTTATTAATTTTTTAGTGATTAATTAATTTTAAAGGAATCCCATAGGAATTTAAAACATTACTTATCACAAATAGTGACTAAAGAACATTTAATTGCTAAAGCAATAAGTAAAAGAATTTATTGAATTAATAACATGTGCATAAATAACTCATTCAAATCTATTAATTATATTTATTTGCCTACAACGACTGCATATTATCATAAACTAACTTCAAGTAAATATAAAAAAATATATTTTTGGTAATAAAATTATGTATAGGTAAAAGTATGTTTTCATCATATTATTGGATGTTTGTGACAAAAATAGTGGGAATCTTTAAGCTTAATCAAAATATTCATATATGTTTCTGATATTTTCGCTTACGTAAATGGCTGGAAATGAAATAAAACAGGCGTATTTTTGATATTATGTTTATAACTTTTAACGTACAAGTACTTGTTTTGGTTAAATATATAAGAACCTAAAAACCTACTTGAACTAGCTATATATGATATTTTTAAATTGTTTCTATGAGAGGTCAAGCAACGGGTGGAAGGTAATTGAGTTGGAGTAACGTTCGTCTAGGGATTTACTCGTAGCTTCTGCAGATATTCTCGATGCTAGAAAATAATTTATATACTCTTCGTATAGCTTATCAATTACTCGTTCTTATTTTGAAACAAAGTACAGTACCGGGAAATTCTTATTTTCTTCCTTTATATTACAATCAATTATATATTTATGGTCGTTATTGTGCATTCTGATGGATCTTTATAAATGTTCAAAAGAAACTGGATTAAGGCCAAATTTTTAAGCAAATAATATGTAAACAGCTATTAGATGTTGTAATTGGCACACAATCTCAGAAAACTGATCCGGTGCTTAAAGTGAGCAGCTAGATTCATTCTATATGAGTACTTATGCTAGAAAAGAAAAAACAATAACTATTTCTATAGTCAGATTTAATTCAATTGAAAAAAAATCTGGAAGTCCTGAGAACTGGAAATAGGATTTAGTTACGGTATGTTACACTGTATATAAATCTTCAGTGTCTGAACGATGAATAAAATAAGCAAGCAATTTATTTGTTTCTATTATTTAGTGATCTATCCAATTCAAATCAGCATTAGCAAATCCTAAATAACGAACCCAAGTTAAATATATGCAAACAAGAAGTATTAATTATAATTTTATTTGTCGTAGTGGCCAACCGTAACAAAAATAATTGAAATTTTATAAAATCGGTAATAATTTGATTTTTCAGTTATCTTATTATCTTTCCCTAAAATATCACTGTAAGTAAATTCAATATTGTATTGGAGTACGTATATACTAGTAATGTATCTGACAAAATCAAGTTAATTACATTGTCCAAAACTTTTTTCCCCACTATTTTAATGAGTCTTGTTAAGAGTTTACAATATTTTTTTCGTTTAATTTTATTCCAGTTTATGGGATTATAATGATTAATAGAAAATTAAGAACTCGATATTTAAGGCCGAAGGCTAAACTGATTCTGTGTTACCAAAAATCTTTGTATCGATTCTTAAAGCGGCGGTCGGCGGTCGGTCTAACATCAATGATTTGTTGTCAAACTTTTCTTTGAAGCCCAAAAACACTTACTTTTTTTTATTAAAATATCTTGAATCAAAAAATATGTTTCAACTTTTTTGTATCAAACATTATAAGTTATATACACACCTTTCTACCATATGTTTATGGTTGAAGTCTAAAAAATATTTTACAAAATCTCATTTTTAAAGGTTTATATATTTAAAAATTTGCATCTTACAATAAAAACTTTTTAATAGGTGCTGGAATATTAGATGTCATAAAGATGTCACATAAATTCTTAAAATGACGAAATACAACATTACATTCGTAGTTATTGTAATATTTATTCAGTTTTGTTAAAAGTTTTACTAAAAATAAATTAAAGGTTGACTTGTAGCGACGATACATTATTATTTTTCGTTGATTTAAACCTTACAATGAATTACAACAATTCAGTACTTATAGGCAATTGGAGTGAAGAGAGGCTTAAAAATGAGGTTTGAAAATCATTTATGTTGTTTTTAATTTATTATATTTGATATGTTATTAAAAGAAATAAATTTTTCATATATTGCCAAAACTATTAATTGTGAAAGATAATAATATACTTTCTTAATTTATTAAGAAATTTCTATCGAAACATTTTGTCTATCAAGCAAGATTGAAAAAGTAATATCCTTTTCTGAATTAATTTATATTTAAGATTTGTAAATACATTTTGATTGAAAGATTTGCAGTTAACAAAATTTTATATCTACGAAGCAAGTATTGAATTGCAAAATTATGCAGGTTAGGTACAATATAAAAAAGCTTAAAATAAATAAAATTAGTCGAAAACTTTATTACGTACGTGTTACATTTAGGGATTTCAAAAATAAAATTCCCAATTTTCTATAAAAATATTTTATACACGTGTTGATGCTTGCATAAAATATTAATTATTATTATATTGACAGGATTTGTTTCCTTCACGAATTGAAATCTCTAATGCTACCTAGTTAGAGAGTAATTTAATTTAGATATTTAGTTTTATTTACTTGAAAATTTATATTAGAACCTAGAAATGTTGTCGAGCAAAGACTTATATTTATTAAATTCGCAATTTACAGTACGATTTTAAGATATTTCTTAGAAAACGAGATAGACGAGAGCTGTTGCTTCAGCGTTCAAGAACTTTATTCAGCAATTTACTAAAAGAGGTACATGTATAATTAATTTTCAATCTAAAAACTACATACTCGTATTTACGAAATACTTAACTGTCAAAGACGTGATATTTAATGTTGTTTTTGTATTATATCTTGTTTTGATTTGTTTCAGCAAACTTACTAATGGAAAAATTATAATACTGTTTTCTGCTTATTTCTGTCATATTTTAATGTTTTCTATTATTATTTTTCCAGAGGCCCCTTGCTATAAGTGGCACTTTTGTTCTTTTTGGATTTAATGTTCAAGTGGTTGCATCTGATATGCCTGGTAATCAACTCGTAAACATATTTTGAGTATAATCGATGTTTAAACATTATTGTTTTCATTATATATAATTTATAGTCCAGAAAGGTTCAGTTGGAAAACCTCAGTATGGATTGGCTTTATCTTCTTTAGTCAACGAGCGTCAGGTGGATTTCATGCAAAATATTAACGACGGTTGTCTCATGACTTTATCACCGATTACTACGCCCTGTTGTAGGAACACTTTTGTTATACTCAGGTTTATAAATCAATAATATCACACTTATTTCTGAAGTAACTATAATTATTATTTTTCAAAATATATACATTGATTTTTTTACAATTATTGAGAAGAGCATACTAAATATGTACTTTGAATTAAATTTCAGTACGGAAGATACAAGTCTCCACGGGGTTAAAATGAATTATGGTGACGAATTTTTACTAAGAGCAGAAAACTATGGAGATCCACAGGTCCATTATAGCTAGACGATAACATTATACATTTTAAGATTAAATAGTTTTTGTAAAATAAAAATTACTTATTAAAATTATTGCATGATTTATGTTATGATGACATTTAAATTATATCTGAAAATAAAATTACTACGCAATCTTGAAACGAAACTAGCGTTCTTTAGAACAGATTGACTTGTCATTTAAAATACTTCAAATCCAATATCTGTATATACCTCTTTGTTACAAAGTATTGTATAGCAGTGAGGTGTAAGTATAATATATTGTCATAAGAGCCTCATAGATATTTATTGTTAGGCTGCTCCCTTGTACGTGCGATATACGCCAGAAGGTGTGCCGGGTCCTGCAGACAGAATGCCGATCCAGCTTAGTGCTATATTAGATAGCAATTGTCGATGGACTACTATGCCTCTCCTTCCTTGCGATCGTCTTGAAGGACTTGGCAGTCCGATTAAGGTTGTATATTAGCAGTTTTTTTCTCTATTTATTTATAAAAATATATGTATTTACTTTATTTAAGCTACGAAAAAATCTTTATGAAATATGTATTCAAAGAGCCATAGCTACATAGTAATTTGTTTTACAGACAAATGCGAAACTTGTCATAAAAAATTGCGTTGCCGATAAAAGTTTATGCGTCATGAATCAAAATTGGATGCAAACATTTTTTGGTCCAGTGAGTACTATTCTTCAAAATCGCAAATGAAAGCGATATTTATACGTATACATATATTTTAATGAATAAAATGTTCCTTTACAAGGTTTTATTTTTAACCTACACAATAATTTTTGAATTCGGTACATATTTAAGGAGAAAAATGAATAAAATGTCATGGGTAACCTAACTTTGCAGGAATGTGGGGTAACGTGTAGGGATTACATCGACATTCATGGGCGGTACACGGCTGAAAATATATTTTCCTTAGTCAGCGATGTGGAGACTAAGAAGAAGGATTAATTTATACAAATATTATTGAAAATATCCGATAAATTATTTATATAGATTGATTTTTTAATATTGTTTTGACTGTAGAGAACTATCAAATGATTACTATGTAAAAAACTACATTTATTATTTCTATTAAGACCTCATTTTATATTTTATTTATAAATTATTAAATTTGAAATAAAGGTTTTTGTAAAAGGTATTTTAATTGATTTTTATACATATGTATATACTGACTTCAAAACCAAAAGGTTTCTGCTAAAATTCCTGACATTCTATTTCAAGGAATTCCAAAGCAGGTTAATGATACTAACAGCTGAGTTATCCTTTTGCTGATAAGTCCAAAATTTCATACGAGCCATATATGGTATAATTTAGAATTTCTCAAGATAGATTTCACTTATATAACTGTACTTAGATTTTATCACGGAGTTTTATCAACGATGAATAAGTTTTCCTTCTGAAATATTACTTTACTAGATTGTATGAAACTTGTAAAATACGAATTATATGGTTGAAATATATTTTATAACAATTTTTTAAAACTTTATAGTTATTAACAAAATTAATAGTTATTTAAACAGAACTATTTCTCAGTGAAATTACTACGAAAGACGTTGCAATAAATAACATAGTAATTAGAGCTGGCCTTTTACAAGATGATTGTAAATTTGACAACACAGACAATAATTTTCCAGACGTTTTCTTTTATGTTGTGTATTCTAAGCAAATTTTATTAAATAATTATTGTTTAAAGGAGTGAAATATTTATACATATATTTGTAATTTTTTACTGAAATATAAAAAATGGTGGATGATAAAGGTATTGTTTACTGTAATCGTGTTCTTTTAGGTAATTGGTATGAGGCATCTCAATTGGAAGAGGTAAGTCAAAACGTATTACTAAAAAAGAATCGTTAATGTGATTAGATAATTTATTAAATTTTTATAGTACAAATTGAACAAGTTTCTTGAGCAAATGAAAAAGGGTGATTTAATGTTGGCGAGATATCGGAAAATGAGTGAAAATCTTAATAAGCCGACCGTATTGACTCAATCTTCGAGCAGTATTGACTTCGGAGCTAAAATAACCCTTCTAGCACCCCACGTGCCAGGTCAGCAATGAAATATAACGAGGAGTCAGTTGCTATGTTATTTGCTTATTATTTGAATTCTGAGGTTCAAGAACAGCTAAGACCGTTTTATTCTATAGAGAGTAACTTACAGTGTTAACCGATATTAAATAAATGAAATCTTAATATTAAATCGCTATACTTAAAAATATATGTTTAGAATATAGTTTTTATGACTTTTATCTTAGACCTTATTTAGAAAATAACTTAGGTTTACTTTAACAGCAACTGATCCACCTCAAGAAGATAAAAAAGGTCTTCTCCTCGGAGGAAGGTTATCATCCAATGAAATTAGCTATTCCCAAGAACTCGAGGATGGTTGTTCTGTTGTGGGCCTATCAGATTTAGAGCCTACCGAAAAAAGCACATTTATAATAAAAAGTGCTGATTATTGTAATAGAGAAGGGGAGTCATTAAAGTATAATCAAGAATTTCTTCTCGCTCTCTCGTCTTCTGTGACTAGAAAAAATGTAAGTTTAACAACTTTGTATTTGTTTGTTGAATAACTTATAATATAAAGTGCGTTCACTTTTTTCTAAGTCTATTTAAAATTTTACTTAGATTTATAATTATTCTATAGCACCTTTTTGATTTTACACCCTTACATTGATTGTAAATAAACCGCATTTGAATTATATATGATAAAGAATTGTTATTAATGTAATTAATGATAAACCATAGCCTTTATATCTTCGATACGATCCAAATCCTATTCCTGGTCTTTGTGGTGCGTTGCCTTTATACCTGAGCAAGCATCCTGTTAGTAACACTAGATGGCGTATGCTTCCTACGCAGGGACCGAACATTACTAGATTCGAACAAGAGGGAAAGCCTGTTATGGTAATTGAAATATGTTACACACTATAATAAATTTAGTTGTATTATTTAATTTTAACAAAAAGTTGATTCAGTATTAAAATAAAATATTTTTAACTGCAGGTTAACACAGACCTTATTATTAATCATTGTGCTACGAATGTCAATCTGGGTATTAACGTCGGTTGTTGGATGATGGGATTTTACGAAAAAGTAATTTATTTTTAGACTACATCAATCATAATTAGTCATCATTGTAAACTTTTCTTTATGTCTATAGGTATGTGGACCATTGATGAAAACGTGTTTGGATGTTTATGGGAAGGAATTACCGAACAATGTATGGCAAATATATATCCCCATTGCAAGCTAATATTCAAACAAGCAATAGATTTATCCGTCACTTATTACCACTTTTTTCATAATTTTACTTTTACATTATTTGCATACATAACATTATAATAAAATTGTTTTGTCATATTCGACGGAATTGTAGAAACAGAAGTTATTTATCAAATAAATTGTTATTTACCTTTAATAAAATTTATATCACTTGTAAAATTAATGTATTCTATTTGCAGACATCTTGTAGAATATGAATAAATCATAACCCATCGTAATAATAAGAAATCATGAATATCCTTGTTACTGACTTCTGATTTGGTACATTTGTAATGTAATAAATAAAATCTGTCTCTATTTCCAAACGAGAGAGATTTAAATTTTTAAAAGGTTATTACAAAATAGTTAATTTATATACATAGATTTTGTTCGAGCATTAGTTTGTTTTGAAAAATTTGTGTAAGATAAACCATTTTAATGAATTTATTGTCTCTTTCAAATAACTTAGGGTTTATTTTGCTTAATAATTTTAATATAATTAAAGAATTAGATAAATCTTGTTAGAGAAATTTTAATTTCCTTGAAATAAAATCCTTTTTTAATCTTATACACATTCCGATTTTGGAATAATATACACGATAGTACCTAGAGCTATATAATTATAATAAGTATATTACTTAAAATTCGTTTTATACGAGTATTTGCTCTTTAATGATAATTTTGGTTTCATCAAAGAGGACAGTAATTTTTAAGAAAAAAAAATTTGTACTAAAAGTTTTTTATATTTATTAAGTTCAACTGATTTAGTTATATTTTAAGAAACAAGTTAAAAGGCTTCAAATAAGAGTCGTCTTTTAATGTATATGACTTAATATTTTTTTATACAAACTGGATAGTGCTTAACTATCATTACATCTGATGTTAGGACTTTTTATTCTTATTTGAAAGGGGCAATCGGCTTTCGTGATGGGAAATAGTTCTGTTCTGTTTGCAGGCAATTCTACGATAGAAAAATAGAGATCCACCTTGCGTTTGGTCTTGTTAAGTAAATTGTGTAATACAACTCTCCAAAGTGTATCTTATACACTAGTAAGAGACGGGGTACTTAAACAGAGTTCAAATCCGTGTACTGACAAATATACTACCCACAGGAGACTTATACTATGTATAGTGAAAGTGTCTGTTGCGGTGTAATGTACTGGTTTATTTTTACAATGACACTGACTAAATAATAAAGCAATAAAAGTGATATCTGGCCTATTGCTATGAAATAATGAAGAGAAATGAAATCTTCACACTACTATCAAGTAGATACATATTTATACATTGTACTAAGAATCATAAAGAAATAAAAAAGCGTAAAAAGCTGTGCATACAGTTCGCTTGGATAGCTTTCGTTATTCATGTTAAAAGCGCTAACAAAACTCGACAGCGATTGCTCAAATGAAGCAGCTGCTTCTCAAGTCAGCTTTGTGTGACTAATCTGACTTTTCAATTTATAGCAATATTTTATTGCATAAACGAATTTGCAAGCTATGAAAATCTAATTCTATAAAATTACGTCACTGTTGATCTTCTACTTAAATATATAGGATAAACTAAACTAGACTAAACTGTAAAATTAGGTTTAAAAGTTAGCCATTTAGAAGTTGACCCAGTTCCATCAAACAATCTTCTATATATATAAAAATGGATTGCTGTTCCTTAGTCTCGCTAAAACTCGGGAACAGCTGAACGGATTTATCTTATCTTAGTCTTGAAATGTATGTGGAGGTTCAGGGAAGGTATAAAAGCTGAAAAAAATTGATTCATTACTGGGAAAACCATAAAAACAGCCCTTTTCTATTTCCCATACAAACGTTTTTTTTGACATTAGATTTGACAACTAACTAATATGTCAATCATTCTGTCGCACTTCAAAACACGGAGATTTATGGCTTACAGGTAAACTCCAAAAATATAAATAAAAAAACGTAGTAGATATTTCTTGATTATAGGGCGATACGAAGTGCGCCAGGTCTTCTAGTGTTAAATATATGATGTCTTATGAATGCTTATTAATATTGATGTAAATTATATTTTTGAAAGTTTATTAGTAAATGTCTCGTTTAGATTTAACAGAGTTTGGTAAAACTGGGTCTAAGAACGCACTCATGAATGGTGATTTAAAGGAAACCAGTTGTAAGAAAATGACAATTATTTTAAAATAGTAGTACTTGATAAGGTAGTGGAATTTAAAAAGGCTATTTATGGTTTCAATCAAGCCTCTACAGCTGAAAACAAAAAGGTTGATAAGTATTTGTTAAGTAATACTCACAAGAAAAAAAGGAATGTATGTATGTAACGGGTATTAACTATTGTAACAGACTATGTAGATTTAATGAGATCTAAGATTTTCGCGAGTATTCATTTCTATGAAGATTTGTTTATACTTTCTAGTAATAAAAAAAACAAGGTTGGCATGTTGTGGATGTCGATGGGCGACGGTAACCACTTTCCATCAAGTGGGCCGTCTGCTCGTTTGCCAAACTGAAAAAAAAATTTAGATTTTATTTTATGAGTTTAACATTAAAGACTTAGGTGAAGTTAAACTATGTCTGGGAATGAATGTTGCTTTATAAGATGATGATATGATTATAAGATTGTCAAGATACCGATGGAGGTCAAATTAATTATAAATAAAATCTAAAGTAAGTGTAAAAGGTCAATTGCCCTATCAACAATAATTACTGAGTTTGTTGTCCCTGTCAATATTAACTAGACCAGATATTAGCTACTCACAAGTTTTTTAAGTCAATTTTTTTAATTACCACACAAAAAGCATAGGGAATATGTTTATGTCTGTTTGTCAAATAGCTAATAACATGTCTATGTGTAGGCCTCTCTAGCGCCAAATCTAAGTATATTGATCTAACTGAGAAATGTAAAGAGGCTAGAGATAAAATAATATCTAAAGGGATTACAACATGCAATAACAATATGCCTACAGTTAACATACACAAGGAGCTGTGTGCAAAACCCAGTTTTTCACAAACGTCCGAAACATATTGATATCAAATATCATTTTTGTCATGATCTAGTAAAAGATGACACTGTAAAAGTTTTGTATTTGCCAACAGCTGATATGCCAGCTGACATTTCAACAAAAAGTTTATGTTCAGCAAAATATTATAAATTTATGTTGCTTCTGGACATAGTTGTAATAAAATATTTTATTTTATATAAGATAAATCGTTAAGCAATAATGCGATAAGCAATATTATGTGTTTTTGGTTACATCGATAATATTAGATCATAAACTAATATCGACATCCATACAAGATATTTAGTAATATACTTTTTAAATAAAATTTGTTCTTGTCTGTTACTCAAGCGTTTAATTTATAAGAAAGACTAAGCTGTATATATAAAAAAGTTACTACCGAAATTAAAATCGATGAAGTTCTAGACAATATATTTGTACATAAATAAAATAAATCTTGACATTTTTAAACATACTCGTTCGTACTTACTTTTTAGATGCGAGTTCAGTAGGCAGGCGGTATCATCTTATGATCTCTATATAACTAGAGAATGTCTAAATTTATTTTTGAATTCATTGACATACAAAATTCACCTTGTTGCCGGATATGAATTACGCAACGTTAATTAAACGACGTTAAGTCAGTGGTGGCCTAGTGGTTAAGGGGCCCGCCTCTCGTTGCCAAAGGGCGCGGGTTCAAACCTGGCAAGTACCAATGTGATTTTTCGAAGTCATATGTACTTTCTAAGAGTATTTAGACATCACTGATATACGGTGAAGGAAAACATCGTGAGGAAACCTGGACTTATAGTTTCACAATTATAAGTTTGAAATCACCAACCCGTCTTGAGCAAGCGTGGTGATTAATGCTCAAACCTTCTCCATGTGAGAAAGAGGCCTTGCTCAGCAGTGGGCTCTGATAGGCTGATGACTGAATTAAACGACGTTAATGTATTCCTACTACCTTTTATTAAGACTATTGTTATGTTTAGTAGTAATGAAAATATTTATCACATATCACATATCACTCTCTGTAAAACGGACACTAAAGCCTAAAAATAAAATGTTTCGACTTGATGAACTGTTCCTGATATAAACAAAAAACACCCAAATATATATATTTATTTATGTTTTAAAAATGTTGTAATAATAAGTTAATATCCCTTGAAAAGTTTTAACTCTTGTCTTTTTAATAATATTTTTCAAATGAAGACAAATACACAGACATTTTTTTTTAACTCTATGAGATGAGCTAAGGAGAAAGATTGCGACTCGTCATATATGATGGTGAAAACGTACTTTGTTGTATAAAAAATTAACACTTTGGATATTACATTTTATAGCTTTAGAACAATATTGCTCTCTTAGAATTCCTACATAAAACGTGGGATAAAAATAAATGTTTTAATAAAATTTTATTCTGTCCATTATTAAAGTTGTGACCTACGCGCAACATATTAAAAAATTAATATACATATTCGGGGAAACATCTTTGTAAGGGTAAAATAAATCACATAACAATTATGACAATTATGTATCCCTGTTGTCTCCGCGAAACGAACACCGGACTTCATCAACCAGAATATGTATGATGATACAACACAAGTAATGACATTCCATGTTGTCATTCTTTGGTATCTTAAAATAATAGCCATCATGAAGGCTTGGGTATAGTTTATAACTTTTAATGTGTAATTCTTATTAGTCTGTTATTATTTATGTTAGTGATATTTCCTTTAAAAAAATCGATTTTGTGAAATACCCGCATCCATACTTAATAACTTCATCTGTGAGCCCATCATTGCCTGCATTTTACTCCTTTTTTAGTGTTTTAACCCCTTTTTTTATTTCGGACAAATTTATGATTGCTCTCTTCTCCATTTCATTTGTGTTCCGTAATTCGCAGTCCTATGCTTATGGAAGTCACCGAGAGCTTGGTATATTCGATAAGATATCATTCTAAGCTTTATCAGATACATAATAAGTATTAATTTTTATGTAGTTCAATG